TCGAAATATTAATTTATCTTCACATTTTAGGCATCTCAGACCAGGTTTCTAACTATCTATGCCATTGCAATGGATATTCTGCCTATCCAAGCCTCTGCTGTGCCCTGTGAACGTGTCTTCTCATCCGGAAAGATAACAGTTACAGACCGGCGCAACAAAATCGGTGGAGAACTCATGGAAGCACTGCAAATTCTCAAGTTCAGGTTCAAGCAAGGCCATTCTCTGTCTTTCACACATGGTTTGGACATTGGAGAGGAGCTCAAAGACTTGGAGAGCCGTGCAGAAGAGTCTCCAGAGGAGATCAGTTCATATTTAGCATCACTCAAGTAGGACAAGCAATGTTACGATGAATTCCATGGTACCAGTGTAAACTACCTTCCTTTTTGGGAGGGACGATCGGCTGCAAGCCGCTGCTCAGCCATAGTTGCTTATAGTCGTGGCTGCACTGCGGCTTGACTTGACTTGACTGATCCCAAAAAAGAAAAGCCATCCAAAGTCAAGTCACAGCCAAGCTGCGCCAAGCCGTGGCAACACTACCTGACTGCAAGCCACCGCCGAGTCGCGCCAAGCCGCAGTTAAGCCGCGTAACAGCCAAGAGCCAATCAGCGACTTGGCTTGGCTGCCACATGGCTTGACTGCAACGACTAGCGGCTAAGCAGTCAAGCCGTGGCAACACTAACAAGGTCAATCCACAGCACTTGCCTAATTAGAATGCAAGCCGCGGCCCAAGCCAAAGCCGAGCCACTGGCTTATGGCTTGCGGTGGCTTGCAGCTTGGCTTGGGTTTTTGTAAGCCTAAGCCTGGCGAAGCCAAGCCAAAGCCACCGGCTTCTGGGCCAAGCCGAGCCAGTCAAATCACTAGCCATGCCCTCTGGTACCCAGAGCCACACGAGTCGGGCGAGCCGCAGATTGGCGACGCGGGGTTCGTCCACGAAGGCGCATTTATACGATTGTTCAACCTCGACACTTCCACGTCCGAGAAAGAGGTCAAATTCTGGGAGCCGCCGTTTGAGATCATTGAACCCTTACCTCGCGGCGTGCTCAAGATTGATCGGAGGCAGAGACCGCTCGTCCCCGATCAGTACTGTAGCCATGGAGTAGAGAGCAGGCAGATGTAAGCTTCGGCCGATGTGTAAGCACAGTAACGTATTCGAGGACTGCCGTTGAGCTGACAGCTTGCAGGACTGCCGGTGCCAACGTAACTGCAACCTTAACGGCAAAGTACACCTGCAAGGTGGCGCAGGGGGCAATTCTCGAGCTCAAGAGCGACGCTGTAGCCGAGACGCTATTCGAGAACCAAGCTCTAGAGAAGTACATTGTCAGGAACCACGACATATGGTACGGATATGCTACCGATACCCTTGGCCATTGATTGAAGCGGGAGAATCTCGTTGTGGTCCGCGGCTGGGTGAAGACGGAGGCAGACTGGGCGGTGACAGTCTTCAGTAACACAGATATGAACTCGAGTGCCTCTGTCGTGCTGGCGGCGTCGCAGGGGTCGAAATCAGCGGGTCGTGCTCGATGTCCGTGACAGGTCCAAGAATGCAGCGGCAGAGTCAGCACTACTCGGCGGACGTGTCTCGCCCTCGCTCTGCGGAGCTGACGAGGGATCAGTGCGTCTTGCTGAAACGTTACATGTTGCGAAAGCGGCTCGGTGTCCTCAGGAAGATTACAGCGAGTGCAGGTTACTACCGGCTTCCGTATGTGGACGACAGGCGAAGTGGTTCGGGAGAGGAAGGACTCATGACACGAGAGGGGGAGGATCTCATCGACGCAAATATGACGGGGTTCGAGGGCGAGGTACGTCTTGCGTTATAATAATATATTAGCGAGGTGCTCGAACTGATAAGCCACCAGGGCGAGATTCATGACCCGCTAGACATCCTTCTGGATTACATGCTGGAGGTGGGACTGCTCAGGCCGAGTATTATTTCTGGCGCTGAGTGATACATTTTTTTTTAAAAATCACAGACTACCAACGCCGAGACTGTCATTGCGAGCGATGATTACGTCGAGAGTATCATTGTACGTGCCATGCGAACGACTTGGCAAACTATGAGGACTGATTTTTACTCAGGGTGGCAATCATGTGGTAGATTTCGTGAGCTACATTCGTCGAGTGCAACCTCCGGTACAAGTTGATGGCACGCGTGAGTAGTGATGTGCGGGCCGGGCCTCAAAGCCTGCAAGCCCGCCAAGCCCGGCCCAAAAAGCCTGGCCCTAATCAAGCCTGGCAGCGGGCTCAAGGCCGGGCTCGGAGCGCGGTCAAGCCCAAGCCCGGCCCGGAAGCCCAGGCTTGGGTGTGCTGGCTCCGTTACTGTTCCCTGAGTTCAGAATAAGGAGAGAGCGACCTAATATGTACATAGAAGACAAAATGTAGATATTCTAGACGTAACGGCTCTCGCCGAGCACGATTGTGCGTCACCGTCTGGTGCCTGCTGTAAGCGCACGCTCGCGGACTTCGCTGCGACTTGACTTGTTCCGCAGGTGTAGATCTTCTAGAGATTATAATTTAGTGAGTACATGCAGTATTAATCTACTACACCCAAATACATTCCCTTTTGATAGCACCGGAACACTCGTTGTATTGTGAGCAAGCCCGGGCTTAAGCCCAAGGCTTGGGCCGGGCTCGGGCTCGGCTCGGGCTCAGGGCTCGGCTCGACGTCGCCACAAGCCCAAGCCCGGGCTTTGAGCCCAAGCCGGGCCCGCACATCACTACGCGGCGTGAGTATCCTATCCCTTAGCAACAGCGACATCTAAGAGTGACGGCCCTCCTATAGTTGGGCTGATCTGCACCGAAGACATGATCTCTCATGAGCAAGGCCGCACTTTCACACGTCGCGCCATCATACCCGTCGATTTGACTGAATGGCCAGGCATCACCTTGGACGGCGCCGGTCATCCGAGCGATCGGCACGTCTTCATTGGCTCCATGAAAGACGACGCTCGACCCGTGAAACTAAAACAGCTCATCTTTACTGACCCGCGACGTCCATTTGTATCCTGCAAGCGCTTCTCCATGTCAACAGACAGCAAGTTTCTGGCCGCATCTTTTGGAAGCGGTGATATTCTCGTGTGGCGTCTACCCGATGGCTTACTTGTTCGGCGCCTACACCACGAGGGCCATGCGAAACGTGTTTACTCCCTTGCATTTTCTTCCGACAGTCGCTCCCTTGTTTCGGGATCTGAGGGTGGGGTCGCAGTCATCTGGGATGTCCAACATGGTCGCACACTTCTACGTCTGGAAGGACATCGTGGGACGGCGGTAGTGATGTGCGGGCTCGGCTCAAAGCCCACAAGCCCGTCAAGCCCGGCCCAAAAAAGCCTGACCCAAGCCAGGCCTGGCAGCGGGCTCAAGGCCGGGCTTGAGATGAAGTCAAGCCTGAGCCCGGCCCGAAAGCCCAGGCTTGGGTGCACCAAATGTGTTGCCGTTCCCTGGGCTCAAAACATGGTAAGAACGACTTTATATATGCATATGAGACAAAACGTTGACTTACCAGACGAGGCGATCCCTGCTAGTGTGACTAAGCGCGATTGTGCGCCGCCGCCTGGCGTTCTCCGTAGGCGCCCCTTCGCGAACCTTGTCATAACATGGCTCGTAGCGCGGTCGCATGCCCTCTGGAGGCTGAAGTACAGTGAGTACATGCAATAGTAGCCTATCACATGCAAATATGCTCACTTTTGTAGCATAAAAATACTTATCCTAAGCTTGGCAAGCCCGGGCTTAAGCCCACGGCTTGGGCCGGGCTCAAGCTCGGCTCGGGCTCAGGGCTCGGCTCGACGTCGCCACAAGCCCAAGCCCGGGCTTTGAGCCCAAGCCGGGCCCGCACATCACTAGACGGTGGACAGAGTCATGTATGCTCCTCATGGCACGCTCATTGCCACCACTTCTGACGCCGATGGATCCGTGAAGATTTGGGACGCCTCGACTGGAGCATGTCGGTATTCCTTCGACGTCAAGGAGACAATATACCAGGTCGCCTTCTCCACAAGTGGCTCACATGTCTACATTGACATCAACAACTCCTGCTCGATCTATGAGACCCGAACTTTCATGCGCACCGCTGAATTGTGCCATGACGGCTACAAATCGTCAGCATCTCGCCAAGGGGACCGCATAGTCACAGCATCGAAGGATGATCAGGTGAAGATTTGGAGTGCAACGACGGGCAAGGAGCTTCTCACAATCGACTACCCGAGCAAGCTCTCGTATCCAATGGCGTTCTCTTCGGACGGCACTGAGGTATTGACAGCTTGTGAGGAGGAAAAGGCGGCTCTTATATTCGACTCACGGACAGGTCGGCTACGCCACGTCTACGAGCTCTCAAACGTGTTGTTTTATGCGTCATACTCTCCACACGAAGACTACGTCGCCTTAGAAGATGATGCGGGGAATTTCCATGTCCGCGACGCGAAATCTGGAACATTTCTTGCGAAGTTCGAAGCGCTTAGCGATGCAGGCGACCGTGGGGATGGGCCTCGATTTCTACTCGTGGGCCAAACCCTCGTGGTGAACTTCTCGGACGGACTTTCGGTTCTGCATAATTTTCAAGATGTATTGCGATTGAGATAGCATGGAACTATTGCAATGATGCTTGACACACTCTTTTCTTCTCCTTCCTCGATTTAAAGTGCTACCAACGTAGGGTAATATACACGTTTGCCTCACTCAGCGCATTCATATTGGCTCGAATATGTACAGAAGATCTATAAAATATAATATAATGTGCGCCGTGTATTCCAAGTGATAAGTGATGATGTTAACAACGTGCGCGGAATCCGCTGTATAATTATTTGGTGACATGAAGGGCGACGGTGACCAAGGATGAAACAGTGAATTCAGTAAAATCGGCCTTACAACCTGTTTGTCAGAATGACATCTTGAGACGGGAGGTGACGTACCATTTACTTGGTCATTCCGTCCGAGTGATATGCCGATTTGTATATTTATCTGTAGGATTCAGTGAATACTTATGCTCGAAAGCAACATATTTCGCAGACTAGTACCCAATAATATATAGTTTTGCCTCCAGCTCTCCCGTACGGCAGAACACAGTGGATTCGATCGTGCCGTGCCCGCGAGTCTGCAACGGCAGAGCGGGCTGGATGGACGAGAAAAGTATTGAGATGTGCTAGACAATCATCTAGTTCTGTAGATAGTGGGATAGTGAATCAGGGATTATACGGTTGATAGGCGCATAGACGTACGTTTAATGGATTGGAGATTACCTGGGACTGGTCTACCACAGTGCGAGTGAGAGTGTCTGTGCATAATCCATAAGATTTTGCCGAGAGCTCAGACGACCAGAAGATGTTTTGAAGACGAGCACCAAGGCATGGCCGTGGTATTTATCTCATGATTAACCGCGAACCCAAACAAGTGACCACGGAGGGCCCTGATGATAGGCGAGACTTACGGATCAGTATAGTTCAAGCTGTTGTCTGGAAGCTGTACGGCTGAACAGCTTTGTGATGGGAACGACATGCATCTCAGAGGTACGTGCACATAAAGCAGCCAAGAGGCCCCGTAGAGACTACTGGTACAGTATTTGCGCACTTTACTACTCCTTCTCGATCATCCACCTTCCAGCTTCCCGGCTCATCGAACTGACCTTTCGCCTCCTGTCAGCACATCCTTTACCAACAAAAACGGAAACAGTGTCGACGATTGCATGACAGAGTGGCATCGATTCGACGTCGCTGGTGGGGGAAGCCATCCCTGCTCGTTCTGTCGGCGCTGGGCGCAGAGCGGGGAAGCATTTTAATCCGTGTCCCGTGCGATCCGTCGCGTTTGATGCCCTTGGACGGTTGGACTTGACTCGGTTTCTTACTTTCCTTGTTGGCGCGACATATCACTTCCCCAAGCATCGATCATGGAAGACCCCCCTCTCCCTCGGCGACTCCACAGAAGTTGCGCCGCGCCTCGTCACACTAGTACTGTTGTTTGGACCTATGGTAACGAACAAGCATCATCTGCTTCTCGGGCACTATCACAGCCATGGACTCGCCCAGCATGATATCGGCGACTACTGTCCCACTGCAAATATGCGCCCTCAAGATGGCGTGCCACTTGGACTGCCAGATGTTGAACACGGTCCTGGCCTCGGCCGTTTCTCGAAGACCAGTACGGCAGCTTGCGTCCCCCGGCACGATGCTCGGCGCACGCTGCACGGCCTCGAAATAGCATGTTGAACAAGAGCCGAGAAAGTCTGTTGAAGACTCGGGTCGCCGATGTAGTCTACGTCGAGAGCACAAACGCGCCAGCGTTTGCCATCCATCCGGTGAGTGCATCATTACGCTACGAGATGTCTTACGTACGTGTGTAAACAGCATGCGCACGAGGTGCCCGTGAGCGCAAGCTCGAGAAACTTCAGCACGATCTCTGGCACCTGTATGCGAAGGTCTCGCCGGGTCACGGCGTCAAGCTCGAGGACCCCACCCACATCGGCATTGCAGTCATGAGCGCATGCGGCCGGGCTCTCCAAAGGAGCGTCGCTTCAAGCCGAGGCTGACGGTGTCGCAGGGCCTGAGTCGTGCCATTCACACGCCGGTCTCGTAGCGGAGCCGATCACGAACCAATGCGTCTTCGTGAGGGCGACGCAGGCACCGGCGGCGGCCAGAAATCTCCGCAGTGGCTTGAGCTGGGGCAGGTGGCCGTGATCCAGAAGAGAGCGGCGGAAGAGGTGCTTTAAGCGGAGACGGAACCAGAGGGGACTCAGAAGTACCAAACTCGAAGGAGACTCGCTGGAGCGTAGCGATAATGTAAGTGCCACTTTGCGCTGTACTGGAAGAACTACTAACATATGACAATTTTAGCAAGCATCTGTCCACGTGCTGTATACTTGTGCTGCTGGGCAATAAATTTGGATTACATCCATCATCGAAACGCTATCACTCGGTTGATGTCGAAATTCTTGTATCAAAAGTCTTAGATGGCGAGATGATCATTACCAGAGATGGGAACGCTGACCGCATTGTCATGCACGACGCGTAGCAAGACCTTGGAATTTCCGTCTCTCCCTAGGACGATAACCAGCCGTTTTATTTACCGTAGGCCTTCGCCAAGTGCAGTCTCGTGTGGATGTTGATGACATGTGAGTCTCTCCTATCATAATAGTTTCAATCTTAAACCGTGACCATCAGCAAAACCGCCAGCTCTTGGGGAGCGTCTTGAGCGTCTTGGATAACATGCTCAAGACGCCCAAGACCCCAAGACATCCGGTGTTAGCCAAGCTATGTCGTTTGTCTTGGGAAGACGCCTGGTCTTGGCCAAGACTCTCAAGACAGTCAACCAAGACAAGCTCAATGCGGCATGCTTATGGGTAAGATGGACATATTGGCTCAATCACACTCATATAAAACAGCTACAAATTGTATTTGTATACTTCTACTAAGACTGTGTACGTGTACTACCTGCTTAACTTGACAATGACTACAATGAAGGCAGATTGCATGTGGCTTAACACAGGTGTACGAAGTTTCAAGGCTGGCATGAGATCTTCAAGTGTCAGTGAGAGTAGCGGCCAGTGGGCGGAGTACGAATGAGAACGTACCTCATCCGACCCAACGCACGAGCTCCTCCACCTTCATGACCTTCGCATTTTGCAGGGTTCTTGGTGTTTCATATACGTGGACAGAAGGCCACAGGGTGCCCACAGCGGTTGTAATTCAGAACGTGCTGCTTGTGCGGGCACGCAATGGTCTGTCCGCTCCACCAATCAGAGGGCAGCGCCCAGCGGCCTTCTGCCCATGCTCACCGTCGCCATCGCCCACTTTCACAGGCTAATCATACTGGGCTGCCTGCAACCTACCAAAGGGCGCCTGTGTCCTGGATGTTTCGACACCGTATGCCGACATGCTCTACAAGAATTTCAGGAAGGAGGTCTGTGAAGGTACCAATGATACAAGCTCAGGCAAACCGAATTTCTAGCTGATCGTGGCTTTGTGGAGGCGGAGCTGTGATTTTGTGATGGACAGCGTCATGTGGGCCAGATGGTCTGGGACAAACCGACTGTTAGGAGTGAGAGAAGCTCAGGTGGCGGTGGCACAACGCACCTCCTATGCTGAAAAGATCAAATTTAAGGATTATAGCATGTTGATTTCACTGCTTGGTCCTCAGTGAGTCAGCCTGGTCGGCGGGGACGACATCTTCTGATGTCCTGGAGTGTGATCACGTCCACTACGGCTACTTGATCAGTCGAGCTGCTGGGCGTATTTGATGACGGTTGTAGACCCTTGCACGGAACGCGCTGTGCG